TCTGGCACAAAATACCCACGGCTTTCACATGTCAAGTTGCGAGTGCTTCTTCGTCTAGCGGCACACCTGCGCCGCCGCAGCGCGAACCCTATACTTGGCAGTTTATAGTGCGAACAGCAAGGGGGATTGACAGTGCCGCTCACTTCCAAATACTTGTATCAGAAATAACCACAATCATCCATCTTAGCCTCTTGTCCTACGCGCCATCACTATGCGCTATCTTGAGGTCAATCTCGAAACTCTTTTACCCGCGTTATCTTCCCCACAGTGGCGATAAGAGCAACATCAAACGTACCTCTTCCGTGCTGCGAGACAAGAATACCCAGCAGGGGTTTGTCTGACGCGGATCTAGATCTGACTTCTTGTGCGATTGCCGCACTTGAACCTTCCACTACCGCCGGGACTCGTTCCGTACCGCCAATCCATAAGCCCTAGAAAGGAGCTGAACCTTACGCAAGTACCGAGCAGGCTGCAAAGAAAGCATAACTTCTCTATATGCTTCCAGTGCTTCGAAGCCTAGACTATGGCATACTACAGCCTTTGTGCGGTGTTTCGAGAAACTTTACGATATGTCACGCCAAGCCACCGCGTCAATATGGCTCCCGTCATTTACATGTGACTCTAACGCTCACACATGAAGTCAAAACCGCTCCGTCATCCCTGTGCCACTCATGATCCAATCGCATCTCGGCAATGCTCCCGATCATCAGTCACATGTAGGATTATGCATTCTTTCCATGGAGGGTCTTGACCAAATACATCATTTTGTCAAGATAAGCTACAAGTGAAACAAGACGCTGTCCAAGCCCCTAGTACCACTGTGCAGCCTGCTCTTCTAGTTCGCGTTGATATTGCTCAGAAGCAGTAGTCCATTCATCCGTTTCGCGTCTCCGAGGCGGAACAGCTTCGCCCCGATTACCCTCACGATAATGAGCGTCGTCCACCCATTCGGCGCGAGGTTGCCGTATCCCATGCGGCGCGTGCCCCAATGGCATCTCTTGTCCTCTTAGCGGTCTTGCAGGCCCCCTCCGCCTATACCATCTTCTTGACGCGTCCATATGTCCATTCCCAATACCCGAACCAATGAGTATATCGCCTGTTACCGTATCTTGATGTTCTCGTCTTTGAGCCTCTTGCAGCAAATGTAGCATCTGCCGCAACCCCGTCAGCTCACGTCGGCTATCATTCACATGCCCTAGTACCCTCGCTTCATACGGTTCGTCCGATGTGACTACTATAGCGCGTACGTCCCAGGTGTCATCGATGTTAGGGTATGTCACTACGCTCAGTCTACCTCCCGGCCAGGGGTTTACCAGCGTAAGCTGATCCAGAATTGAGTTGCGGAGGTAGAGAAGCTTTGCGGCTGTGTTTCCGAACATCTCTGCAGGTGTTTGTTAATTTAAGGTAAGGCGATGCGAGTTGTGGTGGGGTGCTGTGGTCAGTTATGTACATGTAAAGTTATACGAGTTTGCTGTAACAAGGCATGAGAGATGCAGTGAGAATGATGAAGAAGTCACTCTATAGTTCTTGGTAGTAATGGTGATAGATTCCTTTGTTCCGTCTTTGCTATGTGAGTAGGTGGTGGCATATATATCGTACCCAGTCCACCACTGCAACACCACACCACCATTCTGCACACTAACCCCCCTTTATCTAGTAAGCTTCTGTTCTGTAAACGGCATTGACTACAGAAGCCATAGCATATCCAGCGATATGGGGTAGTCGTTGGAAACATTCTTCACGTTCGAAACATGTTTTCCACCAGACGCCCTGGAAACAAAGGAGTGCGTATCCTAGAGCCTACGCGAGGTTGTCGTTATGTACACTGCCTTGCTTCTCATCTATAATACGTACATCGTTTTACTTCTCGCTTTTGTCACGTTCCTCGCTTTCTTTGGCTTCTTTTACTTCTTTCGGCTTCAAAGCCTCCTCTTTACTTGTCGCATCGTCTTCGTCATCTTCGTCGTCTTCGGGCAGTGGGCCGCTAGGCGCGGGAAGGTCGCGCAGCTCCTTCCAATTTGGTAGCGGCGGGGTAGCAATTGCGTCTACGATAGTAGTTGACTTAGGGTTCGCCTCAACGCTTGATTGGGTTGCCATTGTGTGGTATTGGTTGTTCTGTAAAGTTTGGTAGACGATGGTCGGAGAAATGGCGGGCGGCTGCCTGGTCTTATACTCCAAGGTCTATTCTCAGCTTACTAAGCCCGATGTATATCGCCCCTGTGGCTTGCGTGCAACGTGACGTTTGTTACAAGTGACCGAGAGATGTTCGAAGAGCAGGGGTGCAAGTTGTGCGCACTTGTTTTAGATTTTACGCTGGTCGTGCCCCTGCTCCTAGAGTACGAAGAAGCGCAAAAAGACTGAACAGGCCTGCACCCTACAACGAGATAAGAATATGTGAGATACACGACCGGACGTGAACGTGGGCTCTAGGACTGTTCGCCAGATCCTCGAATGAGGCTACCTCGGGAGTGTAAGGTCATTTCGGGGTCAGACATTGGATTTGTTATCACAGGAAATAAGATTACCTGGGTATCTCTTGAAACAAAAGCTTGAACAACCTCTGTCCATACGTTGACTAGTACACTCCTTTTCAACTCTCAACCCTATCTGTCAATGAAGTATACGAAAGAGAAGTTGCTGAGAACTACACTGGAGATTCTAGAAGTTTCTCTCGAAACCAACACCATTCTCAACTACAACTCATTCGGCGGACGTTCGGCTTTCTTTGTGAGGACTGCTGCGCCGTTCGTCCACTTATACAGATTCAGATACCAGGCTGCATTGAGAATTAGCATTTACTCTTGGAAAATGAATTGAGAGAGTGATGCATACCAGATGCTAAGAACGCAAAGGAATCGGCATTGTGTTGACGGTTGTTTACTGAAGGAGGACTGCCACCTGTAGCGCCGGGTGCATGACCAGCGATCTTCTCGTATCCATACACTTCTCCAATGTTGCCGTCTGGAAGTGCCGCTGGACCTATTGGATTTGTTAGTTCTCTATATCCAGATGTAATTGGATGCGAAGTCTTACATTGCTGCAGATTTGCGACGTGCATCAACTCGTGTATGATCATATAGCTCAGATATTGTCCCACTGTTTCGATGCCCTGAGAGTATTTCCTCAAGTCTCCAGATTTTCGCCAATCGCCGATCTCGCCTTTGACATTTTGGGTTGATGTAATTGCGCCTCCATCCCAATTCGAGCATAGAACCACGGCAGTGCCGCCAGGCTGTGATCCATCCTTAAACCCGAAAGGGTAAACAAAGGCACGAAGATTGCCCTTGCAAGGTCCAGTAGCACCAGGGACGGGAGGTTTGGCACGAACCTGCGCTTGCCTGTTATCGCCGTTGTCGAAATACACACCCCGAAAGCCATCTTCCGGGTATGTGAGATGATCGTCCGAGCAGAATATCAGGACACCTCGATCGGGCGGTTGCCTCTGTCCTGTAGTATCTATAGCACCCTGGAACTGTGCTACATGGCGAAGTCAGAAATTGTATCAGATCACCTTGCGCACCTGGGCAAGGCTGGAGAATAAGGAAACTTACTATGTGCGAGATTCAGAGTCTCTTGGTCGTGCTCATCTGGCGCTCCAAGAAGGTCTTGTAGAAGTGTCGCATCGGTTTGTATGTATTGAGTGTTTTGTGCCCGCTTTGAAGCGTAATCCAGGACTTCGAACACAACTTTCATGGTGTTCTCCACCCGAGTTGCTGTGTCACCACTGCAACTGGAATGCAGGGCCCATGCCGAAACGTGGACTGCTTGGATGCTCATAAAGAGAAAACAGAATAGTTCAGACCGCATGATGACCTCGGGAGAGACGATTGGGGATAAAATGAACGCCCAAGAACTAAAGGATATGCTGAACGGGGAGTTGTAGAGCAACTGCCACAAAACATGTTCTCGGATTTAGAGGGAGAGAGAAATGCTATCATATATGAAGGCTATTGCATGCTAAATCTATTCGCAAGCATCTGCCCAGGTGTGACGATGTTGCGTAAGAAGGGCCCCAAAGCTAGTCCGCACGGCTGAGAAACCGGAAAACAATCTTAATCCAGCCCTGTAGATATTTTCCTGGAGTAGGTATTTGAGACGCGGAAGTAAGACTATGGGGGCAGAAAGTTTGAGATTCCCCCCCAATGAGGTATCATCTCTCCCGTGAGTGGCATTCCTGAGTTACGCCCCCCGTGGCTGCGCTCAGCTCACGTTACCTTACAGCCCCTAACTCCATTATAATCGCATAGTCAAATTATCCAGGACCCATTTGTACCCAGGTATCAGCAGCCCCGGGGCCAAAACCAAACCTCCGGGGGCCGCACTCAGCTTACGTTGACTTACAGCCCCCAAACTTGTTTCAATCGCAAAGTCAAATTAGTCAAGACCCCACTGTGATTCTAGTCAGCCTTGAAAGTTTAGAAACTGGAATACCTAGGTATAAACTTTCCCGATGCTCCTCGCTTTGTTGAGCTGCTATAAGCAACCACTGAGATACACTCGGTGAGGATCACACAAAACCAATAAGAAAGAGAAGCTATTTGGATTCTATCAAGGTATGTACTGGCGATTACAAGCAGAGGAAGCCTGGAGACCGTAACGAAACTCATTGATGCCCAGAAATCTACAAAACTGTCATTGCACGAAAACTACATCGCCAACGCTGTCTCCATCATGTGGACATTCCGAACCATATTGATATTTGCTTTCCTTGTTTCAAACATCTCCCTCGTCAACGGAGCAGATTGCGACTCGAACCAGCCCCGCAAAGAAGGGGACCCCTCAGGCGCAGACATCGCCAGCTTTCTTTCTGGCGCCCTGAACGACCCCAATGGCATCATCTGTGCTGGTGGATTCCCACCACTGAACAATACACTTAACAACACACTGAACAGCAAAATCGCTACCTACAATGCACGCTCGATGCTTTTCAATGTTACACGGGAAGACGCCACCAAGCCCATTGAGAATTGCAATGAAGCTTTCTCGAACATCATCGAACAATGCATCCAGAACGACAACTATTGGGGCGGGGTTTGGTCGCTCAATGGCTTCATCTACACCATCGCCGACATAGTCTTTCCAGAGAATGGCATTCAAGGCCCAGAAGACCCTGGGTCTCCTACCCCATCACCATCTTCAACCCCATCACCTTCGTCAACCCCATCACCTTCGTCAACCTCATCACCTTCGTCAACCCCATCACCTTCGTCAACCCCATCGCCTTCGTCAACCCTGTCGCCTTCGTTAACCCCATCACCGTCTTCAACCCTATCACCATCTTCAACGTCGACTGTGCTTACAGAGACAGATTCGGCTGGAGGTCTAATGACTTTAACCGTGAGTCAACCGCAGACAGCAGTATTTTGATTCCTCTTCTGACTAAACAATGCAGTTCGTTCCCTCCACTGTTCCCGAATATACGACCTTAACAACAGCAACGACGGCCTCGACGACCACGACGGATTCTAGTGGCGCGATCATTGTATTCCTCTAATCATCGGGCCTGGTGGAGTTATATGGGGTAAGCATGGGTGAAATACTTGTCTCGAGCGAAGCTGACAATGAACGCAGTGCCTAACGGGGGTGTTCCTCTGCCACCGGGAGCGACACCTCCTTCAACACCACCTGGAAGCGATAGTGATCCTGAACAGCCAAGTGGAAACCCAGATGTCACTACAACTGATGGTCCGACTACGACTGATGGTCCAACCCCAACATCGTCATCTCCGTCTTCGTCTTCATCAGAAGCTCCTATGCCCACAGTGACCCTCGTTGGAGACCCTCCACTACCTGACTACCAGCAGATCATGGGCATCGAACCTTCCGGCTCACTCCCAGACGACCCTCCCGATACCAAATCGGAATCCTCTCCCGATACCACCTCAGCCTCTTCTGATGCCCCTACCGCGCCCCCGCCCACTGCTCCTGCATCATCTTCTCCCTCCCCCACACCAGTACCGTCGAAAGTTGCTCAAACTCCTATCGACCCTCACGTCGGAACGCCAGAGTGCTTCCCAAGCCACGGGACTACCGATGCGGATCGAATCGTCTCCATAGTGATGACTGATGAGCGAATCAGCACGTTCTGTGCCGGCACTGAACCAGAGTGGACGCAAGTCGGGGCCGACTCAGGGGGAAATGGCGATCCCAAAAACAACAATCGTTACGACGCAACGTTCACCATGGACGCGAACGCCCCAGAGCTTTGCAACCTATTGTATACGGAGAAAGGGAAGTCTCAGCCAGATGTTCAGAATGCTTGTACCGAACCATTTAAAGCGATCAGGGAGGCATGTCCGTTCAACGGCGGACAGGTGAAAGCAGATTGTGGAGTGTGGACGCTACAAAGTTGTCCGTCCGGTGGGAGTTGTAAGGTTGGAGAGCCGGGCCAGCACTGTCAAATGAATCCAGGGAGCGCGGTGTGCTTGTGATTGATGTAAGATTCTGACACGAGGCCTTTGTAAAGAATTATTTCTGCTGGAGAAGCTGATTAGAAGTAGTGGATCGTCAGTCGTCCTCATTTAGATAGTTCATTAAGTAGTCAACGCCCATCAACGTGTGACGGAACAACCGCCGCAATAAAACAACTCACAGGTACCTTAACTTCAATGGAATAGAATCATTTTCTCTCACTGAAAGACGTTATCGTGCAGGATGACACACCAAGCTTTCCGACATTGTGGAGTCACTCCGCGTTCCAGAGCGCTTTGTCCACCCTGTGCTAATTTAAGGTTAGTCTATATAGCAATTGCACGGAACACATTTCCCAGACCGTTTTAGCTAGTCACTTCAAAGAGAGCGACTTTCGTTCTAATCTTCACCGATTGACCCGTAGAAGAGCCAAGCTTCCAAACGCCGTCAAGCCTCCGGTCATCACCCTACAATATTCAATCCAGACTCTTCTCCAATCACGATTTTCACAATGAAAACCTCTATACCCCTCGTTATCTTGACTTCGGCCACCGTCACTATAGCCCGCTGCTTTCCCGACAGCGGCCAGAAATGGGCCACCGAAGCCTGCAAAGACGCGGCTAGGGGTGCTATCAGGGACCTTTGTAATAGCGGCAGGCTCGCAGGCCATTTCAATCAGGGCGACACCAAGTACGCTTGCGCCAATTGCCCGTACGCGGGCATCAAGTTTGATTTCGCTGTGGGTTGGCAAGGTCGAGGCGGCTTAACCCTCAAACAAGAAGACTGCATTAAGCGACTGACCGACGAGGTTAATGGCTGCCAAGCCGGCGGCGAGAAAGTTACTGCTGACTGGCTTTTCCGGTAAGTTTTTGTATACACACAGTTAGCTTTGCACGGACGAAAACAGCTAACAACGTCTAATTGTAGGTCTGACCCTAACGCGGGCCGGTGCTGAGTATATCAGCTCGTGGGATCAAAAGCGACTGAGAAGTTACAATTGGTATGGAACGAAGGATGGAGGAATGATTGTGGTCGTGTGTGAAAGGATATGTAGTTGGTGCTGAATACAACGTACCAAATCCTTCGTGCAACAGCAAACCACCACTGAACACTGAAACGGGTATGACGAGCTGTCACCAATGATTTATGGAGTAATGCGTGATACGACAATGGAGTTGATATTGGTGCTTATGATACCAGATGAGGTTACTGCATTCGACCCGAAGCCGGCCACTGCAGATTCGAAGCTGAGAAGGACGGAAATGCGAAAGGCGGGATAAGCATATTGCCCGCCCCCATCTCAGCATCACCGAACATCTCCTCGATATCATTCTACATCATGGTTAGCAATGCCAGTGTGTGGTGGGGCGAGAGTGTTACTTACCCAATCGATGTCGTTGATAGCGTCCATCGCAGTGTTACCGTTAGAACCAGCTGCCATTCCACCCTCGTACATGGTAGAGTTCGGGCTACTATTACTACTTTCACCTTGCTGTGCGGTGGTCGGCATCAGATTGCCTGGACTATTCCCAGGAATGACGTCGTAGGTTGCAACAGATACTGTCGCTGGCATGTCGATGGTACCCCAGTCTACAGTCGGCATAGCACCAGGAAACGTGTTGAGCCTGGGTACTAACGTGGACTGAACCCGAGAAGTCTGTGGTGGTGATGGCGAAGGCGGTACGAGATTTTGCAGGTTTGCGTTGCCGTTCAGTAAATGCGAAAGTGGACCAGAAGTACTCGGCTCCGACTGCGTGCTTCCATCAAGTCCACCCTCCTTCCTCTGTACGCGTTGTCGAGGCTCCAGGCCTGCTTGCGGCATGTCGGCAGGAACACGAACTCTTTTCAAGGCAGAGTAGGCTTTCGTCTTGCCGACGAGCTCTTCCAAAACCATTCTCGTTTTCTCAACGTTGGATAGTCCAGTGGGCAGATTGAACGAGTAGTCTAGACATTTCCATATTCGCTGCTCCATTGCTGGTTCCGGGTTTGCTACGTAAATCTCGCTTACGAGAAGAAGCGCGCAGTGGTGTTGATGGAGAGCACCGACGATCCATGCCCAGGAGGATAGCACTGGATGCTGCTCGATTGCCATGCCATGTTCCAGAATCATGGTCGCTGCGCTTAGTGTCAATTGTCGTAATCGCTCCGGCATTCGGCTGCGAGCAGAAGTAATGTACTTCTGTAAGATGGAAATATACAAGCGGTTCGAGACGATGCCGTATAGCTCCGACGCTAGAACGTGTAATAGCTCTGTCTTGGACAGCATGGGGAGATACTTCTTTTCCATAGCCGCTTGGAATGACTGAACACGCGACAGAAGCGAAGTGATTGTGACTTCGCTCTTCCCGTCAGCGCGTTTGCGATCCAATTTTGGACGCTCGGTCCAAAGGAAGCGATGCATCTCGTATCCTTCAAATCGCATGAGGCTGATAGTCATGTCGGTGAAGTGATTGCGATCTTTACTGACGTCTATCCCGCCCTCACCACGCTCAGCACGGTCGAGATCAACATCGTCAATGTTCAGCGGAAAGCGAGTGTCATAGTCGTCGAGCCGGATTTGCGGACGTGGGCCAACAGCTTCGCAAGTACGTAGATCCAGGAAACATATTTGGTACCATATGAGGCGCCGTACTTGGATTTCAACCGGCGAGGAGCTGTAGGTCGTCGGGTCCCGGTGCAAACCCATACATTCAGCCAAGCGAATAAGTGACCCAGTTAGTGCAGAGTGGGCGCGAGATACTTCGTTGCGACATAGCGGAATCTATAGGAAGTTATTAGCAAAGTCTGGTGAAGTCAACGGTCACGACTAGGGTAAATTGTCGTGTACGCGCTTTAGGACGGCAGACTTACGAGGTACATCACGAAAGCCTGAATTGTCTCCAGTTTTGTAGTGCGTAGGAAGTTGGCTCGCGCAAGCGCTGCCTCCGTCCCTTCCCTGAAGCTGTCTATCATGGTTTGCTTTTCAACACCAAACTCGACTTGCACCATGTCATCGGTCATTGAAACGACTGAGTTTAGCAAAGCCGCAAAGAGCACTGCTTGGAAAGATGCGCGAGGCTCCATGCCCATGTTGACTCTGATCCAGAAGTTCTGATACTGTCGCTCGAATGAAGGGCGGTGTACGGTCCGGGCTATGGTATGCACCGCAACCCAATACTGAGAGAGTAGTTTATCAACCACTACCCGAGCAGGCAGATGGGACTCAAGAGCGGTTTGGTCTATTCCGGACGCCAACACAAAGTTTGAAGATGGAGCAACATAGTCTTGTGTGGGTGCTAACCAATTTACGGCGTCTTCTTCGATGGCAGACAGAGACGGAGTTTCGCGATCTGGTAACTCTTTGAGTGTTGTAGCAAGCTACGAGGAAGGTGTCAGTTTGATCCGACATGCTAAACACGTGGAGACTCACTTCATCTGAGAGTCTTGGACGAACAAGTCCCCCAATGCGTTCTGTGATGCGAACTCTGCCCATTCGAAAGCCCAGATCGACCATGTCGTCGTTGACATCGTCGTCAGGCTCATAGTAAGCTGCATCTTCAGTAACGAGATGTGTCGGCCGGAGATCCTTAGTGTCCTCGTCGTCTTCTTGGTCGCTTGACTGTTCCTGACCAGGGAGTGTACCAACCCTAGAAAAGCTTGCAGTATTTCTCAAGTTTATTTCTGTCTTGCGCGCAACATCTTCTTCAAGGCTCCTCTCCAAACGACCCATCTGCTCTTTAACCTCGGCTAGCTTTGCCTGAGCATTTGCATCAAGTCCGGAGGCAATGAAAACGCATTGTCGCGTGTTTTTGGTGCAATGTGTACATGGGTGGCCTTTGTCGCACTTCAACTTCCGCCGGCGACATTCGAGACAAGAAGTAATGAGTCGATTCCTGCGGCGAACGCGCGGTGCAGGCTGCTGTGTCCTCTTATCGGCTTCAACTGGTGGGGAAGCTTGAGACCCGTTCTGGTTCGACAATGATGGGCTCGACATGACTGAGATGCTGTTGAAGCTTGGTAATGGAAAGCCTGAACCCTTACGGACGTAAGATCCGATGCAGTGTCTCTGCGCAGCGATTAGCGACACGGTACATGAAGGATCGAACAGGGCATGCAATACGTTACTCACTTCCCCGGTCTCCACTTTATTGGGATTTTAGGGATGCTGGACTCCGGAATGGTACCTACCTAGGTAGGTATGCTTCGGAAGTTTAGGATGGTTCAGGCGTAAGACGCCAGCCACGTAGATACCAAGCTACGTTTCGTGCCAAGTTTCGTCAGAGGACGTGCACATGAAGTTGATGCCCTGCTTGCATGAACTCAAGACGTCTCCACGACTTTTGGAAGGAAACGTGGTGGCTGCTTGCTTACGACCTAGCAGGACTGCCCAGGTGCCCGCCCCGCTTTAGCGCTTCCGTGATGCATCGACTACGGCGGATCAGTCTTTGTCAGCGTCATTACCCTAGTCATTGTCTGGCCAAACCTATCTTACATGACTGTAGAGAAGAAGCAGAGGCTTTTGCGCGACAATTCGTTCCTCGGAGTCTAGCAAGTACTAATATCGGCACATGGCGACACATTCAGATGCCTCTGGCCTGAACACAACGCCTGATTGTGACATGTGGCTTGGTAGCATGGCTTCATAGTTGGCGAGAAACCGCTCACTAAATCAGGGGGAGACTGACCCTTTTCCAAATGCTGAAGATAGCCTCGACCGTAGCTGCGACGTTCCTGGATGCAGCCCTGGGGTGAAGCTAATGCAGTCGACTGGATCCGTCTCGCTACCTATGTACATATCAAGACTACTCAGACGCGAGAATCATCGCACCATCAGTACATGATAGGCCTGGAACAAAGCACGGAGCGATGCGATGCCTGGTGGGTTATTCCGGTTTCTCTTCAGGCGTCGAAGATATGTAGGACACGGCTCTGACGCGAACGCGTAACGCCTGGTCACGCTTTTAGTTGGACGCGACCCGCGACAGCCTAGGACAAAGATCCACTGATCGTTGCCGCCGCGATCTATCTAACGCACGTCCTCACCGCTTCCATAACAAACACCTTTTCCTGCCGCCTTTTGCAGAGTCCCCACCACGCACGCCTCTCGATTCTCAATCCCACCACATTGTCCATACCGACCGTCTCACCTGCCTTTATTCTCGCTTCATCACTTCCGCTTTCAAAATGTCTGTCGTGTCGCTTCTCGGTGTGGAGGTCAAGAACAACCCCGCGCGCTTCGACGAGCCGTACGAGTTTGAGATCACCTTTGAGTGTCTCGAGCAACTACAGAAGGGCAGGTGCGCTCAACATCAAGAAAAATCACGGTGACTAACGACAATTCAGATCTCGAGTGGAAATTGACCTATGTTGGCTCTGCGACCTCGTAAGTCCACTGCCGCTCCTCCTCCTGAACACGTCTGATCAATTCCCCGCAGAAACGAGTATGATCAGGAACTCGACTCTGTCCTCGTCGGCCCCCTCCCCATTGGCGTCAACAAGTTCCAGTTCAAGGCCGATGCACCCAACCTCACGCGCATCCCCAACAGCGAGATCATCGGTGTCACAGTCATCCTGCTTAGCTGCAGCTACGATGAGCGCGAGTTTGTGCGTGTCGGATACTATGTGAACAACGAGTACACAGACGAGGCGCTGGCACTGGACCCGCCTACCAAGCCTGTCATTGAGAAGGTGCAGAGGCAGATCCTGGCAGAGAAGCCGCGAGTCACGCGCTTCGCCATCAAGTGGTACGCAGCTACAGACACTGGTGCTATTCTGGCAGTGCTAACCCATTCAGGGACTCCGACGAGTCTGCACCCCCCGAGTTCCCCCCTGAGCAGCCAGAGGCCGACCTCAACGCCGACGGCGACCAATACGGTATCGAGGAAGAGGAAGAGGAGGAGGCCGAAGAGGCTGAGGGTGAAGGTGTCGCCGCCGAGGGTGAGGATGCCGCCATGGCAGGTGCCGAGGACACTGCAGGCCCCGCCGCTGACGACGACGCTGAGTCCGAGGCCGGCAGCGAGGAGATCGACATCGAGGACTCAGAAGACGATGAGGAGGAAGAGGGTGAGGAGGGCGGAGATGACGACATGGAGATGGACGAGGGTGAGGCGGGCGCTGCCAGCGGTGACAAGCCAGCCCAACAACAGCCAGGAGGTGCCCCGCAGCAGCAACAGCCTGGTGCGGATGTCATGGTTCACTAGATGTCGCGCCGGGTTCCTTGCTTGCATACTTCACCATCGCGGGTGCTTCGAGCAGGAAGCGATATTTACCGCCTTGTGGTTTTCTTCCAGTCATGTAGACAGCAGTCGCCTCGCCACTGTGTCCACGCGATCTAGTCTTCACCTTGTCACGAAGAAGTTGAATTACGAATGACCCAGCAAGAAAGCAATTCATACTACGTGAGAAACCGCGTGCCGTGATAGTAGATATGTGGTTGAAGCTCAGATAGTCCACAAGAATGCACGCAGCCGCGCAAGCCATTCTTGGGCCCGAGTACGTGGCCTCTTGATATTCATCTCCGCAACGGTCTTCTTACCCTGCCGCTAGATCCGGGATGTGGCCTGCGCGGATCCGTCTACACAGGCTGAAAGTGGTGGTTCGAGTAACGCCAACGTCACTGCACAGCCTCTGAGTGAATGGCGCAGTGGTGGGAACTCGGAGGCTGATTTCCGAGACGTGTGTCGAAACATTTATAGTAACTGTGAAGGACAGGAAGGGGGGCGACATCGTTAATGATGCCGGTCACCACCTTCGGGATCCTTCGCTCCTGTTCTTGTGACCCTTAGAGTGCACATGTGTGCAAGCCTGAGGAACTCACTCGGCCATTGACGTCAAACAACGCACCTTTCACACACGGCAGAACCCTAGGACTACACGACTCTCCAGCGCCTGTTTCAGCAAACGGACTCGTCGGTCGTTTCGAATCTCTCCCTGGACTTATTCTTTCCCCCCTCAAACCTGCACCGCCGCCACTCCTGACTGTCTGTACAACCGCGCCCGGCGAGATAGTTGCACCATATACGACTACGAGGATCGCCCGCTCTCTCGTATACGATATCCGACAGATCGCAAGGGTTGCCGGCGAGTCTGCACTTAGCGACGGCGACTCAGGGCCATACCCCACCAAGTTAAGGTACGTTCATTTCCTGCTCCACGCGTCATTCGGCATGCATGGCGGCCTCGATGAGGGCTGCGCGGAACGGTCCCTGGGGCCAGGCGGCAACGTGCATCGAAGACGGCTTCCCTTGGACAACGGCTGACGCTTATATCTGAGCACCGCAGCGCATACCCTATCGCACCACGACAATGAGCTACCACCAAGGCCAGCCCAAGCTGGGGGCTACTTTTGTGCCAGGAGGCTTCGATGACTACTATATGCCGGCTCCCTCGCCTGAAGTCATCTCGCCTGCGCCTCAGCGGTTCGTTCTAGCCCATCGCCATGTGCATGCCCTGAAATTGCGGCTGACGTAGGTTTGGCGGTAGGATCATGCCCGAAGTGCCCGAGAACATGCAGGAAAACATCGCGCATCTGGAGTTGGAAGCCAACGGCCCTCGTGGTACCAACGGCGCCATGTCCCCCATGCAGAGCTACAATCAGTCACAGCACCCCAACTTCCCGCCGCGGCAGGCGAGCTACCAGAACGAGCTGCCCGTCCACAACGACCAATGGCCCGCCCGGCAAGCGAGCATCTCCTCTGCCTTCCGCCAGCCCCCCAACGTGCAGCCCCAGTCGGTCCAGCAGCAGCCGTCGCACGACTACAACCAGTTCGCCCAGAGCCACGACTCGCCCAACTTCTCGCCCTTCCCCAAGCTCCCCAACAAGCCCCCGAACGTGCCGCCGTCCGACGATGAGAAAGAGGCCGTCTTGGAGAATGCGCGCCTCCCCGTGCTCAACTCCAACGACCCGGAGATGCAGCTGGCATGGGCCCAAGACGCGCTGCAGTACGTAGACGCCGCGCAGCTGCACGAGCAGCGCATTTCAGAGATCCAGGGCGCGAGGCCGGCAACGCCACAGGTCGAGCACCAGCTGCGGCTCGATGCCATGAACGTAGTCACCTTCCTGGCCGACCAGGGCCATCCGAAAGCGACCTTCATGCGGGGCATGTGGCTGGAGTTTGGCAAGTTTGGCATGCGCGCAGACAAGAAGGAGGCTTTCAGGTGCTACTCCCGCGCGGCTGCAAAGGGATATGCGAGGGCCGAATACCGGATGGGCATGCAGTTCGAGCAGTCGAATGACCCGATCAAGGCCCTGCAGAACTACAAAGCCGGTGCGGAACAAGGCGACTCGGCCTCCAACTACCGCCTTGGTATGATGACGCTACTCGGACAGCACGGACAACCACAAGACTTTGCGAGGGGAGTGCATCTCATCAAGCAGGCTGCGGCTACTGCGGATGAGAATGCGCCGCAGGGTGCCTACGTGCTGGGCATGCTGCAGGCGCGAGAGCTGCCTCAGATCAACGTACCGGAAATGTTTCTGCCCTACGACGAGAAGGGTGCAAGACAGAATATCGAGAAAGCTGCCTACCTCGGATTCGCAAAGGCTCAGCTGAAAATGGGTTCTGCGTACGAGCTTTGCAGTCTAGGCTGTGAGTTCAATCCCACCCTTTCGCTGCACTACAACGCGCTCGCATCTAGGCAGGGTGAGCCCGAGGCAGATATGGCTATCAGCAAGTGGTTCCTTTGCGGACACGAGGGAGAGTTCAACAAGAACGAAGAGTTGGCATACCAATACGCGCAACGTGCCGCCGCAGCTGGTCTTGCGACTGCAGAGTTCGCCATGGGGTACTTCCATGAGATCGGCATGAACACACCTGTCAACCTGGACAAAGCGCTCGAATGGTACGACAAGGCCGAGAAGAACGGCAACAAAGACGCGTCTGCGCGTATAGAGAGCATCTCCAAGTTGTCACGGACACTATCGAAGAAGGACCACGAGAACGTTGCCATCAACATGATCAAGTCAAAGCACGGCTCCATGCGAGGCCAGCGACCGGCGAGACTGCAGAAGTCACACGCTCCCATGCCGTCGATCAACGACATCAGCCCTTCCGATTACGGTGACAGCTCTCCAGGTGGCCGAGTGCCAGCCAGGGGCGATAGCACAACGCCATACCCCATGTCTGACCAGCCTCCAATGATCTCAAACGCGCCCATGGCGGCACCCTATGATCGTCCTTCCACAGCAGCGCCATATCCTATGGACAATGGGCCTCCTCGGCTGAGCCCCCAACGGCCAGGTATCGCGGGCGGATTTGCGCCCGAGGTGAGAGCTTCTAGTACTCGACCTGTGTCCTCAGCGTTCAACATCAATCCCAACGTCTACCCTCCAAACGATCCCTACGGCCGCGGCAGCCCGCGCCCAAACCCCGGGCCAGGTTATGATATGGGGCCGATGCCAATGCGCCCTCACACGAGCGTAGATAATATGGGCCCAGGGCGTGGCGGCCGTCCTTCAAGTGGTGGCCGTGGCGCGCCGCTGCCACAAGGAGGACCTGCAAGCTACAGACAACCTGGAGGGCCGAGTGCTCAGCGCCCGGAAGCGCAAACCCGTCCATCAACCACGCAGCCTCCAGATATAGGATACAGTGCACCCGATGGACGTAACAAGCTGCAGAAACAACAGGGGGCGCCACTTAAGAAAGCGCCCACTCTGCCCGATATCGGGTACGTTGCGCCTCTCGAGCCTCGCCAGCATACCCGTCCATCTACCGTTCAACCGGGCCAGGAGAGTAGAACCTCTTCAAGAATGGACAGGCCCTCGACTACTACGCCAGGGCAAGGCTCTCGGCCCTCCTCACGACCGGGCTCATCAGGACGTCCCAGCGGATACGACAACATGCCCAAGCCTAACAGGGTGCAGACGTTGCAACAGCAGCAGCCACCTCCGAAGCCTGCGCCAGTACAAGCGAACAAGCCGGCCACACCTACACCGCCTAAGCCAGCCTCATCGGCTTCCTCGGCGGCAGGCAAGGGTCCCAAGACATTTGATGAAATGGGCATAGGGCAGGCACCCAAGGAGGGCGATTGTGTAAGTTGCACGTCCGGCATGCACCAAGAATTGTCTGCTAACCTCCAACAGGTCGTCATGTAGATTTTGGAGCGCTGGAACAGCGCGATTTGGATGACGTTTTGCATAGCGGAGTTTTGATCTTGCATAGTAGTGAGCGGTCGCAGTACTAACACTCGATATACCCATCTTCGGAACACGTGAAGCGGCATTGGCGACTTTTAAGTATAGACGAAATACAATCAGACAAGACAGAACTGTGATCAATGGCATGCAGGGAAATCAAATCGTGGTGTGCGGGGATGCTAGCCAACGTGCACCGTAGTCGTATTTTCACTGCTGCCAACAGGCCGTGGTAGTGCAATCCGACTGCACAAATTCTTCTTGAGTCTTACATGCGAATAATATGGACTGTCGCAAGACCATGGCGATGCGAAATCGCCTGGAATTGGTCGGGACGAGAGTAGCTACCCGTGGACACTGAGGCAGTTCCTAGATCGCGCGCGTCGACGCGGTGTCACGTGTCAGCACAAATCCGCAGTGAAGTCGAAGGTCTTCTCAGGCTATGATCAAACAACGATCCAAAAGCGTCGCCTGTGTCTTCTCTCACGCTTTTCGGTTTTCAATTCGATGATTCCTTCCCCTCAAAATCAATGAGAGCTGTTGGCCGTGATGGTACCGTGGGGGTGAATCCGCTGGCCACCTGGGCATGCACGGACGCTAGCGCGGTTCCTGAACGGCTCAGCGGGGAAGGAGCGCGTTCACAATTACCTCACTCGCAAACTCCACCTGCAACCGTACCTCCAGCCTACCCGCGCCTGTCGATCCTCTGGCTTGTGGTCGCAGTCATGTCTGGAAAGCGCTCTCGCGCTCTCACAGATGGGCTTGATCCCAACGGCTCAGGCAGTAACAGTCGCGTATGTCAAACGCCCCGAAGCCAACAGCACGCATGCTAACATCGCCCAGAACAAGCGACCCCGTCAATCTGAATCCGAGGGCAGCGATCAGTCTTCGGACGACGAGCGTTCCAATGCAGCCAGCGGCAGCGATTCCTCCGATGACGAAGGCGAACACATGCGCGAACGAGAAATACGGGCGACACAACAGGTGCAGAAAGAGCATCGGGCAACTGCAGACAGGGAAAACGTCGCGACGGATTCTGGGATTATCGAAGAAATCCAGTGCATCAACTTCATGTGCCATGAACATTTGACAGTAACCCTGGGGCCTCTGATCAACTTCATCATCGGACATAACGGCAGCGGAAAGAGCGCCGTGCTCACTGCCCTCACAATCTGTCTGGGCGGAAAGGCTACCGCCACAAATCGTGCCCAAAATCTCAAAAGCCTTATCAAGGAGGGCAAAGATCATGCCTCCGTGACTGTCAAGATCAAGAACCAAGGGCCACTCGCTTACAAGCCCGCGCAGTACGGCGACTCGATCATCGTGGAACGACACTTCAGCAGATCCGGAACTTCAGGCTTCAAGCTCAAGAACGTGAACAACAAACTCGTCACCAACAAGAAAGCGGAGCTCGAAGACATCCTAGACGCCTTCTCCATGCAAATTGACAACCCGATGAACGTCCTGACACAGGACATGGCAAGACAGTTTCTGAACCACTCCACGCCAAAAGACAAGTACAAGTTCTTTCTCCAGGGCACGCAGCTGGAGAACTTGAACAGAGACTATCAGCAGATCGAACAATCTTTGGAAGTCATGAACACGAAAGCCGAGGTCAAAGAAGCCGACCTCGCGACTCTAAGGCGCGAGATGGAAGCACTGGAGAAGAAAGCCAGAAAAGCGGCAAGCTTACAGACGATGCGAGATAAGGAAACGGAATTTGCTCGACAAGCAGCATGGGCCACGGTTCGTGAACACGAAGATGATGTTGCGCACAATGAGAACGGACTCGCAGACACCGAGAGAATCATACAAACCTTACAACAACGTGTAGAAGATACAGGAAAGGCCTACGAGCTGGCGGATCAGGCCCACGAAGCCGCCAAACAAAACGTCACCGATCTCACGACTGAGATGGAGCCAGCAGAGCAAAAGGCACTTGATGCTAAAGCAAAGTTCCAGGAAGTCAAGGGAAGACTCGTGGTGCTACTAGCTGATGAACGGATTGCACAAGGTGAAGTGAAGGAAAGGGAAAAGAATGTGCACAAGTTGGAAGCAGAGATTGCGCAGTACCGACAACGACAGGCTGAAGCAGACAACGGCCGCCACGCAGAAAAGATTCGAGAACGTGATGACGCCAAGGTCAAGTACGAGACTGCCAGGTTAGCATTCGAGGGCCATGATACTGGGCTTGCAGCGCTACAAGACCAACTGGCGACAGCTCAAAAGGAGCAGAACGAAGCAGATCGAAAAGTAGAGGACGCTCAAAAAGAAGTTTCACGTATACGGGAATCCATCGCAAGAATGCAATCAGGTCGGAGTAATTGGGACGATGGGTATCAAAATCGCCAAAGGCTGAGCGAGCTACTCCGCGCGATCGAGTCCGAGCACAGATTCCGGGAGAGACCAGTTGGACCCATGGGCCGTCATGTGAAGCTGCGCTTGCAGGATTGGGGTGGAATTCTTGAAAAGCAATTTGGTCAAACGCTGAACGCCTTCGTCGTCACTAGCAAGCCAGACCAGAATATACTATCAGCCCTTATGAAAAGGGTTGGCTGGTGCGCGCCATCTTTCTGCTTAATCAACAACGCTAACGATGTCAGGTCTGCCCCGATATACATTGGCAAGAGGACGCCTATAAACACCGATGGCAATGAGCCCGCAGAAAATCTTACCACATGGATGAAGGCACTTACGGTAGACATGCCTTTTACATCCACGACATAGAAGTATTTCACTAACTAGCACGTAGTTTGACGATGATCTTGTTCGAAATCAGCTCATCATCAACCAGTCAATCGAGCAAACCGTGCTCATTGAGAACATGGACGAAGGCGCTCAGTTTATGTTCAACCGCGGGCCGCCTACTACGAACGTCAAGATGTGTTTTACCTTTGCGGATGGCGACACAACCAAAGGTCGTGTCTTCGTCTACAACAGTGGCGGGGGTATCAACAACAGTCCGATCGCACCGTATACCGGAGCTCTGCGTATGCAGGTGGACAAAGATACTCGAATCCAGTGCGTATGGCGTTTCAATATCAGATCATTCGCTAATAGCATACACAGACTAGAAGAGAAGAATCTGGCCCAGGCCAAGGGACAACTTGAGACCTTGCAGCAGCAGTCCAGGGAGCGGCATGATGAGGTCAACAAATGCAAGGCTCAGTTACAGGACCACGAACGCCAGAAGAAACATCTGAGACTTGCTTCCCAAACTGCTTCCAAGGAATTGGAAAGACTTGAGTTCGAACTGGAGAAAGCAACTCCCGACGAAGCAGCTATCCAAGTGCGGGAGTCAGAGCTTGCGGAAGCTCAAGAAGAGTTGAAGAACGTCATGAATGTCTACGAAGATGCGGTGACGCAAAGGATCGGACTCAACGACGAGAATAGGGCGAACAAGCAGGAGATGGAAGCTGCACAGAAGCTTGTTGCTGATCTCCGGTCCCGGCTCGACAAGGCGCACGTGACGGTTCGAACTCTTCAGGGCACACGACAAGAAGAGCTCCAGAAAAAGAACGAAGCCATCGAGCAGGTTGCCGAAGCTGAAAAAGTAAAGAAGAACTGGCAAGAAGAGCTCTTGGAGTCGCAACAAAGCCTCGCCGAAGTAACTGAGGGTGCGACGAGCATATGTGAGCGTGTGTTCGTCCCCCCTAATTCAACTTCCGATGACCTACAGCGGAGAATGGTTCAAATGGCGAAAACCAGGGAAGAGGCTGAACGGGAGCTCGGTGGATCACAGCTGGACCTTACGCGGGCGGCAACTGAAGCGAAGCAGAAGCACCACGATGCAATGAAGGAGTTTGAAGACATCAGAAGTCTACGCAACGTAAGTTTGGTTACACGTATCATAATGATTCTTACTGATCCGTCGCAGCAACTCATCACTACGCTTGACAACCGACGCAACCGGTGGAAGCAATTCAGATCTGGCATCTCTGTTCGGGCGCGAGTCACGTTCAACTATCTGTTGAGCGAGCGCAAGTTCAGAGGTACACTGAGCATCGACCACAAGAAGGCTCTTCTTGACATTCATGTAAGTCTGGACATCAGTTTGACTCGCACAAGGCGCTAATTCCATCAGGTTCAACCGGATATCATGGAGCGAAGCGGAGACGGCAGACAGACAAAGACCCTCTCGGGAGGTGAGAAGTCGTACTCTACCGTGTGTCTTCTCCTCTCCCTGTGGGATGCAATGGGCTCGCCTATCCGCTGTCTCGACGAATTCGACGTCTTCATGGACAGCGTCAACCGCGAAAGGAGTATGCATATGATCATCCAGGCTGCTCGACGTTCGATTGGACGACAGTTCATCTTCATCACTCCACAGTCGATGAGTAACGTCACGCAAACGTCCGATGTCAAGATCATCAAGATGACGGACCCAGAGCGCGGACAGACAGCATTGAATGTGCAGCGGACTTGAAATACCCCTGGAATACGGCGTTAATGTGTTGGCATTTGTCGGTGTTGTTGTCGTTGTCGTGTGGGCCGATGATCACGGAGTTTGAGTATGGATATACCCGCTGGCAAAAGAAATGTGTCTCGTAGCCATATGCATATAGTACCATGGTCACGTTTCTAGCGTTCCTGCACACTGGCTGGATGCTAGTCTGTCAAAATGATCAAAAATTCAATTCGCGTTGTGTTCAAGAAGAGCTCACGTAATGTGGCCGTGACATTTGCCGCGCAAAGCGTAGTCGCGAGTTGCGGCGTAAGCGGCCGTAGCGGGTTGTACAGGGAACGGAGTGGGTATGCAAAAGGTAAGGCGGATGTGCACCGGGATCCAGGGTCTCTTGGCCAACCACGTCGATGGACGGGTCTGATACAACTCTCCCACCTCTCGACTTGCTGGCAAACCTTGGGCCCATGTGAGAAGCAGATTTCCGTGCTGTCTCTGCACCTGGCTTCCTACCCTCCTCCGGGAGCCTATATGCCCCCCACCGACCCGCCGTCGACGCACCACCATGGCCGACTCCCCACTCTCAACACCCGGCACTCCAACCACTGCGTCGCCGCAACCTTCCGACAGAAACGCCGCCCGCTCCTTCTCGCCCGCGCAGGACGACGCGCAGACGGGCGACATGCAGGGACACGCCGAGGGTGCGCGGACGAGTGCCCCGGCGCCGAGTGTGGTGAATGCGACGGGATCAGCTGAGCAGGCCATGGAACCCAAAGGGAAAGAGAAGGCGACCAAGGGGCCGCTGAAGCTGCTGGATCTGCCCATGGACATCCTCAAGGAAATCATACACCAGGTGAGTAGGGGCGCCTTATGCGCTGCACCCTGTCATGCGGCACGGCACTGGCTCGATGCTGACGTGCACCTCAACAGCTCCCACACACCAACGACCTCACCTCGCTGTGCCTCTGTCACTCGGCCCTCCATCGACTCACGATCCCATGCATATACTCGCGCTTCGACATTGTGTGGCCTGACGAGAGCACCCACAACGAGCCTCGCGCTGGCGTCGATGCTCTCACCTATGGCCTCGCGACGCTGGTCATGGGCGACGACTGCTTCCCCCACCAGAACCGGCTGAGGCTGCAGGGACAGACGCCGACTGCACTGCTGAGGACTGCCGCCAACCCATACCCTGTTCCGCAGCGGCGGTTTGGCAACTACTACGGACAGTTTACCAAGAAGTTCTCTCTCGGCAATGGACCGCAGGCATGGGTTCAGGAATACATGATCACCAAGGAAGGCGGGAAGATGCTGGGGACCTTGGTGGCGCTTGCCATTGCGCGCATGATCAATCTGGAGACGTTCGTGTGGGATATGCCTACGGGTGTGCTTCGCGATGTCTGGCTTGCGCTGTCGAGCCTCGCCCACCGGAGTGACGGTGAGGAATGCCGTCTGGACCGCCTCTGGATACGATGGCACGACAACACAATCGACGCGCCGATCCCGCCGCCCGCGCCACCCATGATACTCAACAATCAAAACCTCCCTCCACCCCCGAACGCTACACATCCGAGTGGACTTGGCACCGTCCAAGCCCCCGTTGTTGTGGTACCCCCGTACGCACCGAGTAGCATGTCTGCGCTTGATCGAGTCGAACACCCTACCTTTTCTGCCATACCTGCGCTCAAGAGTTTGAGTGTCTTGGACATCGACGAGTTGCCTTACCTCGACGAGATGAGCATTTTGATCGCAAGATCCCAGAAGAAACTACGCGAACTGCGGATCGGTATCGCAGCCCATGCACAACAGCGGGACTGGGTGACCGTCTGGGAGGGTGAAGGTCTTCAACAAGTCGACTACAACGCTACATCGACTGCCGCGTGTTCAATAGGAGAGAAAAGGCTAGGGGGCGTTCTCGGCATTCTCGTTGGTCGCATACACAACATGCGCCATTCGGAAGAACCTCCAACCCAGAAGTCCGGCGCTACCGGCGTCACAGAGCGATCAGTAGAAGCAACGCCCGCCAAATCGGCAGCCTCCTTGCCCCTGCCCTCCATAGCCTCGCTCTCACTACAAGAACGCGACCCGGACCAGGATGTGGATCATTTCGGTAATCCGATGGAAGATAACTCCATAACAGAGGGCGTTAGTCTCTTCAATGACAATCAGCCGTTTAGTGCTGGACAGACTGCGCAGGCTCCTGGTACGGAGAGAGTCGCTGCAAAGACACCTCCATCTCGTGACGAGACTTCTGGCTCAGAAGATGAGCCGCGGCTGATTGGCAAACTGAAACTAGAAGTACTGGAGCTCGAACGCGTCCCTCTCTCCGTCCCAGTGCTTCGCAGAGCCTTCGATTGGTCGATTCTATCGACATTGACTCTTCTTCACTGCAGTAATCACGAACAACTGTGGAAAATACTACGGAGAACATACACCCCTCGTCCCCCCTACCCTGGCTCACCGTCTTCATCCAAGGCGTACAAGGCCTCCTACACCCTTCGATCAGAATACCAGCTCAACCTCAAGCGAATACACACTAATACAGTGTCTCCTTCGCTGATCACGTTTCTCAAAGAGACACTGGCGCCGAATAGTCTTGAAGTGCTCTTTCTCCAAGAAGGCCGCTCTTACTCGTCTACGGTCACAGTAGATGCGATCTACAAGGGGCCATTGCGGAGACATCGAGGAAGTTTGAAGAAGCTAATGATAGACAGTGGAGAGAAGAGCCCAGACGGACACACGACCAATAGTTCAAGGTGGAGACGGTGGATGCTGAACCGCGAGATCCTGACATACATAACAAGCGGCCGTATGAACAGCTTGCGGGAACTCGCAGTGTCCATCGACTACAAAGACTGGGTATGTTGCGCCTCATTACAATTTCAAGAAATGTGACTGACGTCTGTACAGCATCACTTCCTCCAACGTCTCCCGTACATCCCTCATATTCGCTCCCTGTATATCCCTTATATCGCCGATCACGCCCATGGCAGTAATATCGATCCACGCGAACTCGCATACCAGATACTCGATATTGTGCACTTGCGACCGGAGATAGAGCTCTGCTACATGGGCCTATCTACCAAGTGCTTTGAGATTCTGGAAAATCGACCATCAAATTATGACCTACGACACGATGGCATGCATGCCGATGGTAGTGGATCTGCATACGCTACACATGATCCGATGTTATCCGACGACGAGAGCGAAGCTACGGAAGACGAAGACGACGATGACATGGACGATGGCGCTATGCCGCCCGGTGGTGATGAGACCGAGAGCGAAGCAAGTGACGATGTCGACGTTGAGAGCGACGATGAATCGTTTGTGCAGGACTCGCAAAAAGGTCCAAAGTTACGTGTTCGAGAGATACTCTTCTACGAGGAACGAGTTGAGGCGTTTAGGAGGCGGCACGGCGTGCTGAGGCCTTGATGTAATGTGACTGATACGACGGGCATGGTGTTCTATAGTATTACTGCAGCATTTTCTGTACGCATGGAATGGAGCTTGGAATGGGACGGTGCAGGAGGCGTACATGGTAGATATCCTTGATACTTTTTCCATCAGGTATGTAGTCTCGAGACCTAAGCTCTCGTATTGCACAATGTCGAATCATGACTCGATGTATTCGCAGGCAATATAGTACTAGACATTGAGAAACATTATCATTTGACCAAGATGTGCGCACAACGATGAAGGTCCAATGCTTTTCGTCATACTTTGACATGGCGGTTACCCCACGTGAATACGCGTTGGAGCTGGCCCGAGCTTGATGAGCGGTGGTCGCGACCGCTGCTGCGCGAACAAACAGACAACAATCCCCGAAACCCGAAAATGAGCAGACTTGCAACAGTACCATACCCGTCGTTAGATGGCACATCGATTGCACGTTCATGAAGTCTCTCATATTACCACGAACACGAACACGAGCCCAAACAATCGCATAGTGGGGCCTCCGTCGCACCTCCGTCGCCATGGACCATTCCACCCTGGTCTTCGCGTCCGTCTTTCCAGTCCTCTCCTTCTCGCACAGCACACCGACGCCGATTGCGACACCGGATCTGGGTCATACAGCGCCTGGGACCTCGTTCGGCAGCCCGTACGCTCTAAGGAACGCCGAGAGCCGAACACCAGCGCAAGCACATGGGCAGGGACAGCACAGGGCAGTCAAGCGCAACATAGCATGGAGTTGCGCGACGCGATTCCTGAGTTTGCCAAAAGACATCAACTTCGCGCCTAGGACACAGAAGAACAGGGAGATTGAGGAAGCCCTCGACTTACTCTTGAGTGGAGAAGGCAAGAGCGACGATGAGAAGGAGGAGACTCTGGTCGAATGGTACACAAACGAGTGCAGGCTGCACTTTGCGAACCATGTCCGACCCGGTCTAGAAGAGTTGTGGGGTGATGAAGTTGAGCTCAAGCGAGCCTGGGAGATCCTCGACGAAACGCAGCGTATCCTCGAGCAGGTGCAGAACGTATACCTCCAGCCCTTCACCGACCACTTGTTGCCTTTATTACAGCAGAACGCCAGTAACGCGACCCTTCGACCGAGCAGACCTACACATATCGCCGACTCAGATACTGCGAGTGCAGCAGATTGGAAGTTTCGCCGGGATATACAGGCTGTCTTTGCGCATTGTCTGCCGCTGCAGCGGTATGGGAAGACGTTGAGCTATGTCTTGTACGACGCTGGATGTCGCTTGTTCCGCATATATACCCGACACGATGGCATGCAGCCGAGTGCTTCACCCGAGAAGACACAGGAGTGCAGAAAGCGAATGATCACCTTGCTACAAAGCCTAGAGCGCGTTGGACTCGGTGGTGACAGTACGCAGGAGGCCTTCGCACACGCCATGAACAAGCTGCTCGACTCTTTCATTACAAGCCACTACTTGAAGGTAGACTGGTATTCCAAGAAGTCAGTTGTGCCGCAGTTGAGACTGTGGATTCAGGATGGCTTCTGTCCACTCGTCGAATTGGTACTAGAATGTCTGCGGTGCGAGCAGAGTAGCATTCTGCCGACCGAATTGGCTTCATGGCAAGAGATGGCTCTAGCTAGGCTTGGTCGGGCGAGAGTTGACAACTTGTTCGATTTTGTCATACACTGGGACAAAAGTATGGGCGCCATCCTGGACATCAAAGAGTATCTGCGGGTTTCAAACGCGAAGCAACATCTCACCTCGAGCTTTTCTCAGCAAATAGCGAGACGCCTGTTACATCCTGGAGCTACCACGACCTATATACTGAACGTCTACATCTCCATCATTCGCTCCTTCCACGAGCTTGAGCCTAAGGGAGTGCTGCTTGAGCGTGTAGCTAGACCAATCAGACGGTACCTGAAGGAGCGAGAAGACACAGCGCGCATCATAATATCAAGTCTGCTCACTGACCTGACCGACGAAACTGGTAGTAAATTCTCATCTAACAGCGAGCTCTCCTACGAGATTGCCAGCGAGATGGTGAAGCCGTTTGCAAACTACGGGCAAGATACTGATGAGGAACTCAACTGGAACGACATGAATTGGCAGCCTCTACCACAAGACGCCTCACCAGACTACAAAAAGTCAAAAGTTGAAGACGTGATATGGTTCCTCTTAACACTCTGGGAGCGAGAGGACTTTATCAACGAGCTAAAGAACATATATGGTGATCACTTGCTTAGATGTCAAGATCCAGAATATGAGAAAGAGATTCGACTGTTGGAGCTCATCAAAGTCCGCTTGGGTGACGACAAGCTACAAGCTTGCGAGGTCATGTTACGAGATGTCTTGGAATCGAAGCGTATCAACGGCACCATCCGCACAACAATCAGCGTACCAGCAGCGACATCACTTGTTACGCCAGACCACCGTAGCAGAGAGCCTCAGACACCAGACGGCCGACAGCCACGCACACCACAACCTCGGAGACCTGGACGTTCGACTCGAAATATCACTCCTTCTGCATCCAACGCTGCAACACCTCCTGGCCCTACGCTTAACGCACAGATCCTATCATCGTTCTTCTGGCCACAACTTCGCGACGACACTTTCCGCGTACCCGCACAGATCGATGCGTTGCAAAAAGAGTACGAGTCGCGTTTCGAGCGTATCAAAGGCATGCGTAAATTGCGATGGATGAATGCCCTGGGCGACGGCTCTATAACCCTCACCTTCGATGACCGCACAGAGGACTTCGACCACCTCACACCCTGGCAAGTCAGTGTGATCTACGCATTCCAACCTCAACCCGATGAGGAAGCAAAACACTCAGACAAGGGCGGCGAAGGCATCACACGCACTGTAGCTCAGCTAGAAGAGATGCTAGAAATGGAGGAGAGTCTCGTCACCCAAGCCCTTGCTTTCTGGGTTGGAAAGTCTGTACTCCGCTTCCACGCGCCATCTACCTACTCTATCATCGAGTCTCTCCCCAAACCGACGTCTAAAACTGGTGCTCACGATGCCGATGCAGCGGCTGCAGCAGAAGAACTAGCTACCATCCAAGCCAACGCCACCAACAACACTGTCAAGTCTCAGAGTGAGATGCTGTATGAGAAGAAGGATGTCTACACGGCTTTCATACTGGGCATGATGGCAAATCAGGGTAACATGAATGCGGGCCGCATCACCATGATGATGCGTATGATGGTTCAAGGCGGCTTCCCATTCGGAGCCGAAGAAGTGAAGCAGCTATTGGGGGATTTAGAAGCAGATGGCAAGGTCGTGGCAATGGGCGGAGATGTCTGGGGTATCAGGAAATAGACTATCTCCGGTACGCTTGTGACATTCTCACAGAGACCTACATAGAATCCTACCCATGCCGTCTTGTTCAGCGTCAAATGCCGGTCGTTCATCCATTGCACAATTTCCGCCTCACCGCCTCAACTAACTAACTCCATCTCACATCACACACAATCTTGACGTTGCCCACAAGTAGCACAACCCATCCTTCGTCGCCCCACCCGCCTATCTCCGTTTCCCAGCAGATCTCCCCGTACAACGTACAACCAGCAGACCGCCTAAGAAAACCCCTCTAGTATCACAGAGATCTACGGGTAAAATCGTAGATGAGACTGTACGACTGCTACACAGACTTCCGATCCTCACTACCCACCACAAATTACACATTACATATTACACACACACACACACCGCCCATGACACAAACAGATGCCAGCGGTGTCTGTCTTGTCTGCCAACATGCCATGATGCGTCGTCGTGTAACCAAACCAGTAGCAAAGCCTCTTCAACGCCCGTGGCGTCGCAGGAATACGCAGAAATCGTACGGTACGACGTGCAGCCACTCCGAAACAAATCGGGCCATGACGATGCCCAGGTATAATGAGGTGTTGTGATTACTCAACAGCAAACGCACGATTGTGACATGATCGGATGATTCTGGGAGCCCTGGCAATTCCACGTGTCGTGTGCCACAAAATGGGGAAGGTGCTGCTGCTGCTGGTGCAAGGTCCCCTGTCTACTCCTACCTGGGGTGTGTCCGGCTAAAAACGCCTTTGGGCTTGCCGCGTGCCTTCCGCCATAGAGAATGGCATGAGATGACATGGTGTGAGGGACGACGCGGATGCGGGTACGAGGCGCAGTATATGTATGCAGGTTGCGGTGGAAGTTTGCAGTTTGGAAGGTGCATTAGCTTGTATACACGGCCTGCGGCTTCGGGTCGATAAGCGATGCAGGCGCTTCTTTCTGTCTGGGTGTTCTTTTCTCTTGTCGTTGTTTTTACGCGTTTTGGCCGCCCTTGCAGAATCGAACATGCATGTTGGATCACATTCTTCGGCCCTGTTTGATGCACGGTCGGTGGAGGGAGGAAATCGTAGTCGGAATGTGGAGGAGCATTGATAATAACTATTATGTGGGGGGCACGCTCATGTTGATCTGCGTTTGAATTCAGATTTTGGGTATTTGTAAAAGCAACTTGAATCATTGGCATTTGCATGAAGGACGTTTTAGGGCCACCATTGAGGCCCGCACGGACGCTTCCGTTTACTCAATGACGAGCAACCTTTCCGTAACATCCAGAGCACCTTCAAAGTTACCGGTGATAGCATAGATGCTCTGCATCGCAAAGGCGGCATCCGTGCCGAAGTCCTCATACCCCCAATTCTCATCCTGGCACTGATCTTCTGCCTCCTGTCTGACCTTGTCACTAAGCGCGCAACACCTTTCATACGCCGGAAGCGCCTGCGCGACAAGACCCAGCCCATGCCACATCCTCCCGACGTTGAACTCCGCCTCTTGCTGGTGGATAGCATGAGAGCTTTTGGAGCGCATGTCATAGTATCTGTAGACGAACGACAGACCCTGTTGGATCTGGTACTGTCGGTTCTCAGACAGTCGTTTCATCGCATGTTGAATGTACGCCACGCCAATACTCAGATTCAATACCGGATCTTCAGGTGTGATGGCAAAGGCGCGGAAGTAGTAGTTGAGTGCAGCCATGTAGCTTCCACCGCACATCAAGACATGTCCGTATAATGCAAACAGCGCGGGATCGTGATCTTTGACCTTGTCTACGTCTTCGACGTTGATATTGTTTCTGAATCCTCCTTTGCTGTCCTTTGTGTCGCGGAAGTTATATGCAATGCGCTGTGCTGGGGTCAGAAGCGCGTAGTCCATAGTCTTGATGTAGCGCATGAGCACTTTGTACGCCGGGCCTGTTGCAAACCCTTCCGGGAAGGAACAGAGACGGTTGACAGCGCCATAGAGGCGAAAGAGGTCGGTACCGAATGGGTATTCTTTGAGGAGCCAGCGTGTTGCTACAGACGCTTGGCGCGAGTTGTCCGCTGCGAGGGCGCATGTGAGGCGACATAGCTGTAATTGTTGGTGGTATTTTTGGTTGCGATGGAAGACATTGGCCTGAGTGGCGATGTCGAGCGTAGCGAAACATTGCTCTTCATCTCCTTCGCTGGCAAGCAGAATAGCATAGCGACCAAATGCATCACACCATTTGTCAAAATGAATGCCCCAGAAATCAGATGGAGCCGAATCTGGTCGCTCGCGTAGCTCAGGATCTGTCTCTCCGTCTTCAACGTTGTTTGCTACCACGGCAAGTACCATCAGCGAAGACTCTTTCCAGAGATCGCCACCTGTGACGCGACGGAAGTAAGTCATGAGATCTTCCTTCCGGTTTGAGTAGAACAGATCGAATGTGGAGAACTCTTCGATGAGCTCCCGGGTAATGGACAGAACTTCATGTATAGCATCCTCGTCCCCGTCCTCTGCCATTTCCCATATCTCCTCCAGTCGCTTGAAACTGGAAACGATCTCCCGGTGCTGAGCTCGGGCGGCTTTGAGGTCTTCGCCGTGATCTGTCGCAAGTTTCTGGAGCTTATGACGAAACAGTCTGTTATTGATCGCTCGATACGGCACGTCGGTACCTTCAAGTGTAGTTCGTCTCGGTTCAGGATCGGGACCTGTATCGGCGTCTTCATCACGTACATCAAGGAACGCCTGAACTTTGGGCGCCTTGGCTCTCTTCGTTCGGAAGAATCCTTTCTTAGGGCGTTCGGTCGGGGCGATGAGTGCGGGAAGCTCCACATTGCCGTTCTCGTTTGCAGAATCCTCCTCTTCACCTGTCTGACCTGTTGCTTTCTGCATCCTTTTCCTATTCCTTCTGACCGTGCTTTTCCGAACTCCATATCGACCACGAGCTTGCCTTCGCTGGTTGTAGTAGTACACTCTGAGCTCATCGTATGCCTCAAACCCGAGCGCTTTGAGCTTGTGGCCGTACTTGTCGCGATAGATGGTCTCAGCGCGCTGCCCAGCTTCTTGCCACATGCCTTGATCTTCAAAAAACTTCGCAAGGACAGCGAGATCGTCATAGTTCTCAGCCGGCCATTTCTTCAGGATTGGAATCACCTCTGCCGCCCTCTCGGTCCTCTCTAGGTTCTTGAAGCATGTGTGCAGGCCAATGTAACTTTGGAGGTTGAACTCATTCGAATTTTTGTCGAATAAGGGCTCATAAAATCGCAGCGCGTGTTCGTCATGGCCGGTGGCATGAAGGGCGTCGCCAATGATACGAAATAGGTCTTCATAGTCCCAAATCAGAGCATCAGCGTTATGGTTATCTGGCTCCAACATCTCAAGGTGACGCTATATCGTAGTTAGTAATGCGTAGCTTTCGACGCAGTCATTCGACTTACCATCGCTTCTTCAAAGTCATCCTTGCTCCTGCGTAAGCGAAACAGGCCTAGCTTCACCCTGATCTCCAATGGCAGGGTTGAGCCATAGGCTGCATCCTGCGATGCTCGGACGAATTGAGGCACAGTAACGCGTCTTGACTCATCTTCGACATCGAACTCGCGATCGTCTTTCAGCTCGTCCCAGAATGTCTCGGAACGCCTACCCTGCTTCCACCGGGCAAGCTCTTTGAGTCGCGTGACACCAACACCATAGCTACCAGCTCGATCTAAAAGATCGAGATAAATATTGATCAGCTCCCAATCGAGTTCATTCTCGACTGGATCCCGGTCAGGCTGTGTAAAAACGTCAATAGCCTCCTCAAAGCTGTTCAGCAGCTTGTTAAGGTGTATCCTAGTCTGTTTTGGAGAGGCAGTACCCATCATTGCCATGATCTTCAATACACTGACATCCGGATCTTCTCCCTGTTCCTTGAGTGTTTTGAGCATCTTGAGGCCGAGTGCGACGCACTTGGATGAACGACCCAATTGCGCTTCAATTTCAAGCTTGCGACTTCGGGCTTCATAGTCGTTGTTGAGCAAGATAATCTCATTCAAACATGGAAGGATGGCAGCCGATTTGTTCTCGTCTGTAAACTGGGGATGTTTCTCTGGATCCAATCGTTCTATGCGCTCGATGATATACTGCCAAAGACCAGGATCACGTTTAGTTGGCGCACCAGCCAGGAGTACAGCTAATGAGTCCTCCTCTCGACCCATCTCGGTATAGATCTCGGATGCAATGTTGTAAGCATCGAAGATCTCGGGATTGAGTTGAATGGCTTGCTGGGCAAATGCAAGGGCAGCTTCGTAGTCCTTTTCGATGAACTTGGCGTTGGCCTGCTTTTGCAGTGCTTTCCATTCTGCACCCGGGTCGGCAACGGCTCGGGGACCTCTGGGTCCCTTTTCTCTTCCGGGCTTGCCTCGCTTCTTTTTCCGAGGGGTCGGTCTGGCACCATTATTGCCCCCTCTGCCGCCACGACCCCTAGTCGAAGGACGTCCTCGTTTTCCACTACCTCGCCCTCTGGTGCTAGACGCTGGTATGATACTGGCGGTGATTGGAGTCTTGAGTGTGCCTCTGCCTCTACCCTTTCCTCTCTTGTACTTTGTCCGCTCTTCAGTATCCTCAAACTCGACGCCTAGCTCCATTTCGTCTGGATCGCCTTCATCTTCCTGTGCATCTTCCGACTCGTAGTCTGCGTCTACTTCTGAATCATCTTTGTTCTCGATCCGTTGTAGTTCCTCCTCTTCCTCCATCGTCAGCCGAAAGTCATCTTGATCGGAATCCGAACTATCAAAGTCGCGGTCATATCGCGAATCACGAAATCTGGTCGCGTTGGTATACTCATCATCGTCCTCTTGCCCCGGGTTGGCTGGGATGAATCCTTCAAAGACTGCAGGTCCACTGGTAGCATAGGCTCTATTGAACGGATCCTGGAACCCTCCACTAGTGAAAGGCGGAGGCTCCTCTTCCTCCAAATCCTCTACAGCGCTGAGTGGGATGAGAGGTATGAAAGGAATCCGGGCTGGCGGCTGATGGTGAAGTGAAGGCTGGAATGGAGGCGGATGTGGGTATACCTCTTGAGGAGGAAATACGGCGTTTGGTGGGAAATGTACGGGGTATTGTTGTCTGCCATGCTGCGCAGGTGGTTGCATCAAGCTTGGCGCAGCCTCTCCAAAAGTACCTGCAACGGGTAAGAAGCGTCTATTATCCGGTGGCTGTCCTGGCGGCCACTGCCCGTAGTATCCATTATTGGGGTTCATTGTGTGCTTGATCGTATCGTACCTGCGTTAGCCCATACGTGTTAGTGAGTGATCATTGTGGTGTATGCACCGAGAAAATGGTGGTGATGTCGAAAGCTTCGAGACAGGGATTGTGACTGTTGCAGAGGCTGGTGCACGTGCTTCGCGCTAGAGCTTCACGCGTCTCGCTCACTCCGATTCGAGGCTCACTAGGAACTGATGTCTCTCCCCGAACCACTTGTTAAGCTCTCATGCGAACCTCCCGATGGTACTTGTCTTATCGCGCAAGTCCAGCTATAAGGGATTCGTGTGGTGACGGAGAACGTCAACGATCTAGGCCCAGCGCAAGGAAATTACTAGGCGGTGTCAACGCTGCTAGCCTGCTGCTTGGGCAGCCCGAGCCGCTCTCCCGGCAGCTAGCTTAGTAGGTGGCAGTTCTTTATAAACGTTTCAGCCAATATGCTCCCGTATTTATATAGAACAGGATCCAATTCTTGTCAATCTAGGAAGGGTCTGCCGGTGCACTTTCAGAACTCGCTACCGTAATTACCCTCTTGGACGGGTTCAGCACCTGCGCCAACTCATATTGAAGCATTTACTCCAAAACACCATACACCTTACCGCATCTTCTTCCTCCTTCGCAGGAACCATGTTACTAAGACACTTCTTTTACAATCTGTCGCTGTGCCTGACCGTTCCCGCTCTCAGCATACCAAAGCATGACACTCAGCTACCTCTCCTCCAAGAACACGAACTTAACCAATCGCAAAGTGCCGACGTCGTCTTAGCATTCAAGGAAAGTGGAAGCAATGAGGTGCATCAGGTTAAAATACCATTACGAACGAGGGTCTACCCAGGTATGTCACATGTACCAGGCTTCAATCCGACCGTTGCTGACAGCCTGACTAGGTAAAGTCTTACCGGATCGACCAAGCGTTGTACAAGTGATGGAAGCCACCGAACAAGGCCGGTCAGTATCACGCGCAAGACTGGAAAGAATTATATGCAGAGTCACGCCGAATATCAGCACCGAGGAAAGAGAAGCATTAGATGTCAGTATGGAACCAAAGGCATTACCATGGTTTGCAGTAAGAGATGGAGTTGTCGAGTTCGAAAGCAGTGGCTCCAGATGGTTTCTCGCAGGTAGAGAAATAGAAAGTTACGAGTGTCGATGACACTATGGTGCGTCCGAGATTAAAGACATGGGAAAGTAGAAGACGAATCTTAATGTAATATGCTCCATGCTTTCTAAGGGTATAATGTGATGGCTCTCAACAGCCTCCTTCCACTCACATGCATGTATCCAAGTGAACCCAACCCAAACGCCAATTATGCAGGTCTGAAATCTGATCAAACGTTATTATCCCCCTCATTCATGCCCACCATCTCGTATTCACCAGCACCGTCTCTCCCTCTGCCCCTCCCTCGCCCTCTAGATTCTCCACCTTCGTCCTCTGTAGCTGGTTGTGATCGCGCAGGCGGCTTGCTACCGAAATTGATTGGCTTCAGTTCGCGCCACTGGCATGCCCACACGCCCAGCGAAGTCATGATGGTCGCGCTGCATATCTGGAGGGCCCACCAGAACATGTGGGTGGGTATCGCGTGCGTATATAGGGAGGTGACGATCAGGTGGATAAAGTGGACAGTCAGGGCGAAGTCGAGAACGAGTTTTGAGCGCGCGATAAGGAGAAGTATGAAGATGGCACTGCCGCGTGTTAGACCATGGTATGACTGATTATCCAGCGCGATCGAGTGCTTACCAAGTGAGACTATTCAGCACCCAGACCAGACCCAGCGTCCATCCGATTGTGGTATCGCCGCGTAGACTTTGCCAACTGAATAGGAGATCGGTGCTGACCTCCTTGCCCGCTACCAGCGCGGTGAAGAGGATGAGGACGCCGGCGCATGCATAGTAGGCAGCCTGTAGGAGTACAATCTGCGTGAGGATGCGGGTTGGGGACAGATCCGCAAGTGCGCCGGGTCGTGGAGGGCGGCGTCGGCGTGGCATCAATACGCGGGCGATGCGCTATAACCCGAGCATAAGGGGAGTTGTCGATTTGGCTGTTGTAGTTGCAAGGTTGCCTGTTGATTCATGGGTTCCCTAACGGTTCGGCGAAACGTGGACAGCCAGCGCCGATGTCATAGCTTAGGGTCTGCCAAGCACGAATTCGACATCGCTGCGCTCTCCAACGTCTATCGACAACAACCCTATCAACTCTACAAATCCGACCTCCAGACTTACACTACCGACGTACGTTATCACCCCGATTCGGTCTACCTGCGAATACCCCACCTTGCGACTGACACCCGCGCCAGTTTCGACCGTCGCCTCCACCTCCGCATCTCCTCCGCAAGCTCGAAAATCGCCGCCATGGGTTGGTTCGGCTCAAGCTCCAAGGACGACTCGGGCGTCAAGAAGACAGAAGGCGGTGCATTCGAGTCGCCATCGCGATCCAACCGGAAACAATGTTACGCTGCACGCGACGCTTTCTTCGAATGTCTCGACAAGAACAACGTCCTGGATAGCATAAATACAAAGTCTGGTAGGGACAAGGCGGCCAGCTTCTGCTCGTCATTCGATCAGGAGTTTGAGAAGAACTGTGCACACAGCTGGGTACGTCAAATCTCGCAATCGCCAGCAGCATACTTCCATGCCCGTGACAGAAACGGCGACTATGGCACTACAGGCTTCTTGGACTACAGATTGGACAAGGAACACACCCGAATACTAGGCTAACATTCTCTAGGTCGAATACTTCAAGAAGCAACGAGTCGTAAACTACCAAAGAGAACAGACGATCAAGAAGATCGAGATGCAAGGTGGAGAAATCACTGCCCCGCAACTACCACTGCCGGGCCAGAACAGATAGATGGAGGATGGCTGAACAGCCCTAATAATGCCGCTCATGACCAATGTACAATATGTATACTACTCTCAAAGCGCTCCCAAAAAGCGTTTGCAGCTATCACGCAGCTCGGCTTCCCTGCCGTTCTAGACTTCTCACACGATGGGGCATAGCACCCACACACTCTCTATGCACTCAAATGCAAGGCATCGCGTTTACCTTAGACCCTCAGATCAAATGGAAGTGCATGAACCTCCCACCCTCAGCGCGCGGTCCTGTAGCCCGGCCCAAATATCCAACACACTACCTTACTCGAACTGTGACTAGACTCGCATAATGTCGTCACCGGAGCTTGGGAACGCTCACCGATGTAGCCTAGCCATAGAGTGTCGAGCCGCGCCTGTCAAGTGTACTCCTTGCATGATGGGTTCGTCGCATAGACGCAAGGACGAATCGGGGATCAGCGGTGTTTAGCTTGTCAATGCAGGCCTAGGAGTAGGCGCGGGAGTTGTTTCCATGCAGCATCGTAGCGTGAGTTCTGTAGGTCAGGCCGCGTCTTGGCCCTGATGCCAAGGGCGGTGACCTTTTGTTGGTCACGATACCTCCAGGGGCATGTGGCATGTGGCTGCCTGTCGGCAGTTTCCTTTTGCCCGAGTCTTTGTTGCTGACAGCCTGACAGCGGTAACTCTACTGTTGAGGGGGAACATGGAAGTCTTCAACTCTGTTTGGCAACCCCTCATCAGCACGAAAGCCTAATCAGAGTAATCATCGGATTCAACATGCGCATCGGAATCAACTTTCCAGGGCCCGGAATCCTACACGCACCAAAACAGCAAAGTGCAAGGAGCATGACAAATGTCTTGCCGCAAGACAGCATGTTACCCAATATTGTTGATTAATACTGATTGGCTACTAAGACGTGCAGGTTTTAGCCGCAGAATCGAGCGGCAGTAGCAGCAGCGCGCCACCTGGTTCGACTCGTCGGGTCGGCGAGATCTGAGCTTTTTCTCGGTTATCTATGCATACAGAAGACCCCCACCCCACCATTTCCATGACTTCATCCGGGTCAAGTGGCTTATTCTACCCCTCCATCGGGTTGGTGCGTCGCCGAAGGATCCTGCCTCCGTGTGTACGTGTGCGTGTGTGTGTGCGTTTCGGTTCGTGTGCTTTTGTTCGTAGGCTTCGTGATCATGTCCCATGCTACCCAAAAGCTACCCAATGCTGATCCGAAGATTTTGTTACTGAAGTTCGTGTGCTTACATCCTCGATGTCGTCCTAGTGGCACTTGGTCACCACTTTGTCGGCCAAATAGTCGCAGGGTCGAACTCGCGCCTAAAAATCTCCACATCGGACGCGCACCCTTTGCTCGGCGACCCAACCATACTACTGTCGATGGCAAACACGACATCCTGGAATGCGCCATGGAACTCCTCCTCTTCGAAGAGTAGTTTCCTCCACATTCGGGCTACCTCCTGTGCCGGGTTTCGGAATATAGGCCCTAGTCCAAAAGCGCCCAATACCAAGTTCCTGTGCCCGCAGTAGGAAGCGATTCGCAGTACTGCCCGCATTTTCTCCTTCATGAGCTCCTTCTCTTGTGCAAACGAATACTTGCAGCCGCTCTCGTCAAGCTTGGGACGCCGCACGGGTGCAACGGATATTACAGGTAAGGACGCTATGTCTGTGAAAGTTGCATAGTCTTGATCTGGGCCTGCCCGGAAAACAACTGCGGCCCGTTAGTGACTTGTGCCTCGTGACGATCGTTACTAGCATGCCAACGTACAGACTTCAGGGGAGTAGATGCCGCCTGTCTGTGGTATTGGGTAATAGTTTTCTTCTCGGCCCAATTGCGCGTTCCAGGGCATTGTCAGGGCATGCACGAGGTTGCTTCTCCGCGCGAAGCATTCCTCTGGTGCCATGAGCCCAGATTCCCAGTCACCTCCAGCGCGCTTCTCGTTTGCTACGTTGATCACTGGTATCCGCTTGCACTCTGGGTCTGCGTTGACAGCACTTTGGTACCAGCCCAAAGCGTAGTTCACGGGGTCGCCTTCCATGACTGCTACTCTCGTGCGTTGTGATGATCGCTTGTCCACGTTGATCCTTATTTGCGAGGAGTCTGGGTACAGGTATGAGGTTTTGGAGTCTCGGATGTAATGCTTCCAGATATGCGGCATCCATACGCGTTTTGCTTCGGCTGCTATTTCTGACGGCTTTGGTCTTGATGGAGGCATGGTAGTAAAGTACTGTGAGGGGGTTCCTGTGGACTGCTTGTGTGAATGGACGTATGATGAAGGTGTAGTTGACTGCAGTGTGGAACAGCGTGAGAGGAACGAGGGGTGACAGTAACGAAAGCGAGTCTGTGACCCAACGGGCGAGAGGGTAGTATATCACTTGAGCAGCTACTCAAGGGCGTGTGATAACGCAGCTAAATAATGGTTCCAGATGGACCCCGGAGACTAAGCTGGCGTATTTCCACTGCGCCAGCTACCAAAACGGTAGTCCACTGCGGGAATCAAGCCTTCCCCTGTGCATGCAGTCATCGCGGGTAGCATCTACACCAGCCGTAGCGCAGACCTGCAGGAAAGATGGAGCCATGAGTCGTGTGCCCGAGCAGTCTAGGGAAGACACAGATGTCGAATGGCCGGTAGCAGCCGCGCCTTGTGATTGCAAAAGTTCATCCTGGTCCTGGGGGCCATGCCGTGCACCCACATAGCTGCCAGGCACCTTAAGCCACCAAGTGCCGTGTCGGGTTCCTAGTGTGTTGGAGCAGGGATGTGTGGCTGGATCGATCGTCCAGGCCTTGAAGCGATCTGCAAATAGTTAAAAGCGGTTTAGAAAGATCTGGCGGCGTTGAGCAAGCCGATGATGACAGCTGCTAACCAAGATCCTGCACGATATAGCGTCGCAGTAATAGCGTCGGCACTAAGATCCGGATGCAGGGTAATGGTACTCTGCTGGAATGCATGGCGTTCTACGAGGCGTCTTCCTCACCGCCAGCGGAGGTGGCACGAAAACGTCCATCTAGCGAGCATTTCCGCCACTTTGATGACGGGTCCTTGCCTGGAAGTATCCTGGCAGACGGTAAAGGTTGTACAAACGGCCATCGAGCTTGGTGGGGCGTGGCGTTTGTGTCTTGGTGTGCTTACTGGCGGTGGAGGGGAGGAGGAAGCTGACCCACCCAATGATGGTCAAGGGAACGACCAAGAAGGTCACCAAGACCACAGGCTCCTAAGGCCATCGGCGCTATGCTCATGGGCCTCAAATCTCGTGAAAGGACATGGTCGGTCCTTGCAGCACATGATGTTTCAGCCATGGCTGAAGTGTTACAGTCGAGATCAACGAGCCACAGGAACGGCACGGGCGAGGCCTTCGCGATCCTAGCGTGGGGTCCAAGCGTTCTTCGTTTTTTTCCCAAGGTTTCGCAGACATCAACCCGCACGTGTGATAGAGAGTGCTGTTTCTACGCTACACTGCGCAGCTCCTGGCCGATCGAAATTTGCCGACGCGTAAATGAATTGGCTCCTGCCTGTTCGGAGGAGCGTTGTCCGTCCCCAGCACCTATTCCGAAACCGGGGAACCGCTCTACCTTGCGCACATGCACTATCACTATGCCGTCCCCGCTGCAGTTCCACCTTCTGTCCAAACACTATTGCTGAGCTGCTAAGGCCAACTCAATCGGCCAGTTCGTCTCAGCAGAGTGCACAGGACAACGAGGCACTAACGATAAACGGCTATGTACGGACGGTGCGCAAGCAAAAACGCATCGCATTCGCTGCTATAGGCGACGGCTCGACTTTGCAAACAGTCCAGGCCGTCCTGCCTCCTCAACTAGCAGAAGGGTCAGTAGCTCCCTTTAGAACACTCTGTAAGTACTGACATGCTGTACTATCAGACTCTCCACGGGCACTGCAGTGACAGTCACGGGAAAGTGGACACCCTCACCAGGCCAAGGCCAATCCCATGAACTTCAAGTCAACCACGTGCGAATATTGGGAGAGAATGATGCCACAGTAAGTCAACATGAGTGAGCCTCGGAGTCCTGCCCGATGTCTGATCTGAATCTTAATTCCAGACCTACCCAATCCAGAAGAAATACCAAACGCCCGAATTTTTGCGCACACTCCCACATCTCCGAAGTCGACTACCAATTAACTCGCTTCTCTTGCGGCTGAGATCGCTAGTCACTGCACAAGTGACCAACTACTTTGCGGAACATGACTTCATTCAGTGCCATCCACCAATCATCACCTCCTCCGATTGCGAGGGCGCAGGAGAGGTGTTCACTGTGGCGCCTGGAGCACCTTCTTCAGCAGACAAAAGCTCTTCGAATCAGGTCAAAAAGCAAGAAGACATGTTTTTCGGTTCCCCCAAGTATCTGACGGTCTCCAGTCAGCTTCATCTAGAGGCTTTAGCTCAGTCAGTAAACAAGGTCTGGGCCTTGTCTCCAACATTCCGAGCCGAGAAGAGTGATACAGCCCGTCATCTTAGCGAGTTCTACATGCTGGAAGCAGAATTAGCTTTCACAGAGGATGTGAATGTCGTCATGGATGTTGTGGAAAATATGCTGCGTTCCGTTGCGTTGAAATTACAAGAGTCGGTTGTAGGTCAAGAACTTCTCGAGGCACGAGCACGAGACCAGGACCAAGAGAGCACATCCGTGTCGCACACTGTCCTCGCACAACGGTGGCAAGGGCTGGTAGCGGGGCCATGGCCTCGAACCACCTATGCGGCCGCAATACAGCACCTTAAAGACGCAGTGGCTCAGGGCAAGGCGGATTTTGAGTATGCACCTGGTCATGAAGATGGTCTCCAGACCGAGCACGAACGATTCTTGGCTGAGAGCTTGGGACGCGGTGGACCCGTATTCATCACTGATTACCCACGTAACATCAAGCCTTTTTACATGGCGCCGTCAAATGACCCGACAGCTGACAACCCGGCCACCTCGACCGTCGCATGCTTCGATCTCCTTGTACCTGAGATCTGTGAACTGGTCGGGGGCTCTATGCGTGAACATCGACTAGCAGAACTCTTGCAATCCATGGACGAACATGGTCTTCAACAAGCGCCGGATAGCACTACCGACGCATCAGACGGCTCCCTGCAGTGGTATGTGGATCTCCGCCGATACGGCAGTGTACCACATGGAGGCTTTGGTCTAGGGTTCGATCGACTCCTGTGCTACCTCGCTGGTGTATCTAACATCAGGGACGTAGTCAGCTTTCCCCGGTGGTACAAGCGGTGCGAGTGTTGATGCGCAAACAAGATATAAGGACCTCCGGTATCCCGGATCACGGCATCGCCAGCTGGTCACGGACGTGGCATCTCGTAACGTGGCATGGCAGAGGGGCTGGATAGCATTGCTTGTTGCAGCACATGAAGACCGCGCGTTCATTGTACTTGTACGATCAGCTGCCGGCTGTACGATAGCTGCTCATTCTGCTCGAATCTGCATGGGATAGCCTCGGACCAAGGCACCGTGAGCTATCTACGAGAAATAGCTCCGGGTGTCCAAACTTCCGTGTGTAGACTTGCCCTATTATTCAGCTTGCGAGGCGGAGTGGAGACGAAAGTTCGCTGGTTGTCCATTTGTTATCAAACACTGTGCTCAGTGCACCTAGCGAGCTTTGCAGGTGAAGCTCGGGCATGCACTGTGCAAACCATCCCAAGATCGGACATTATTCAGCATGCGAGTCTGGATGCGCTAATCGAGACTTGCCGACTTTGCGGGGTATCGTGAGCAAATTCAAGCTTTGCGAACAACGTGTAGACGAGTGGCAGCGGACCAGACGTGTGTGGCGGGCTCGAGGTGCGGGCTCGAGGTGCGGGCGGAGATGATCAGATAAGATATACCAAGCACCTTCCCCCTCCCACATCCGAGGCACCTTGGCCGAGTCTAGCTATCGCGTTGATGATGTACTTGATCTCCGCGGGCACCTGTCACCGATTTACGGGGCATTTGGGTAGGGCGTCGCGAAAATGCGCCGTCCGCCATGGCAAACAGCCTCAGGATGAAAACTTCGCTGGCAGACGAAGTGGCATGCGCATGCGCAGGTTTGCCATGGAAGCTCCGGCATCGCTGGTGGAGGCATGGGTACGTAAAGGGCAGATAGCAGCGACTCAGCGAGAGTACCTAGTCGCGGGCGGAATTTAGGTCTGACGTCTCGGCGTTCGGCTGAAGTCATCTCGCGCTTCCGTTAGTTGCAAACAAAAGTAACAACTTCAATTTCAGACAATTGCCCACTCACCACAGTCGCCCCTCTGCATCGACGCGCGGAGGCTCTACGTCCACCCCAAAAACAAAAACCCTCTCAAGTCGCAAACCTGGAATCCGCGGCGCCAGTAGCCGGCCGACTTATGGCCCCCAATGATCGGCCATCAGTTCCTATCGAAGAAGAACACGAGTACAGCTCCATTGCACCGCCGCACATGAGAGACACCCGTCGCTGACTTGCGCGCCAGTTATGAAGCGCTCCCGCCCAACTTCTCCCTCACCGCCAACATGCTTGCGGGCGCATTCGCAGGTGTTGCGGTACGTCTCCGAGGTCGCCGCCGTGTATATATCCCGACTGACCCGATGATAGGAACACTCGGTGATGTACCCCGTCGACTTGCTCAAGGTACGCAGCTTCCCACCAAGCTCTCCATGCACTGCCGACAGCGCGCTGACTCCGGACAGACCCGCATGCAGATCGTCAACCCGTCGCCGAGCGCCATGTACAGCGGTATCTCGAACGCCATGGTCACTATATCTAGGGCGGAGGGCTTCTGGTCACTGTGGAGGGGACTTTCGAGCGTGGTAATGGGCGCAGGTGGGTTGTTTCAGGCGAGCAAGACCGGCAAGGAGAACTGACAGAATGCAGGTCCCGCGCATGCCGTCTATTTTGCATCCTATGAAGCTACAAAGCACGCCCTCGGCGGCAATGAGGGAGAGAGCCACGAGCATCATCCCCTCGCGGCAGGTGCGCAATACCACGACCACACCAATGCGGGAGCAGCTACTGACCACCAACAGCTGCTAGCGGTGCCGCGGCCACCATCTCCAGCGATGCGCTGATGAATCCCTTTGACGGTAAGACGCGCACCACGACCTCGCTCCGCGCCTACTGAATCTCGCAGTCATAAAACAACGCATGCAAATGCACGGTTCCATCTACAAGTCCGTCCCCCAATGCGCCCGAGAGGTTCTCCGCACTGAGGGCGTGGGCGCATTCTACGTCTCATACCCCAC